CCTTGTAGTGGCCTTGCACCTTGATGCTGATCGCTGCGCCGATGCTTGTGCCGATCCCGACGCCGATGAAGATGAGCCCGCCTTCGCCGTTGTTGAAGCCGCGGAGTTGTTGCCACTGCATGAACGGGGGAGGTTAATTATTGGGGAAGGTTTAAGGTTATGGAGGAAAAGTACGTACGACAATGGGGAAAACGCTGAAAAGGGCGTATAGCACTAGGGAGGGGAGTTAGTTATCGTTATTACTCTGTGTCAGTGGGGATGCTTACGGCCATAAATACTAAACAAAACAAAAATCCATCAGCACTCAACTCCCAGAAAACTCAAAGAAAAGAAAATACGCACATAGACATATAAACCGTAACCAACACCAAAATCGGCTCTCGCGCCAACATCAAGAACGGCCTAAACAGCGTCCTCTCTAGGAGGGCCTTGATCCTAAAGTCCGCGTGCTCGGCCGCCGCGTACTTCGTGCCCCACTTCTCGGGGTCTTCTTTCCGCATGCGGCGCGCACGGTGCGTGAGGAGGATGGGGGAGTACGTTTCGGGCACCCAGATGATGAGGAGGGTGAGACAGAAGGCTGCAACTGTATTTTATTATTATAATGAAAAGGTGATTAGTGTGTAAAGGGGAGAAAGGAGGAGGGGAGACGTACAAATCATGATGAGCCAGAAGATCCAACGCCAGCCGAGGAAGGACTGCGTAACGAAGCCGCCGATGATGGGGCCCATGACGGGGCCGAGGAAGACACTACCGGAGAAGAGGGCACTTGCTGTCTGTAAAACAATACATATTAGAACGCGTGGTTGAGGTGGAACGGGATAAAGAGAGGGACGTACACCACGATTAACGGGATCCCAAATATCAGCAATGACACCGCCGCAACTGAACGTAATTAAGTCAAGTGATGAGCGAAGGGATTTGAGGCGGTACGTACTTCGTAAGAGGCGCAGAAGCGAATAGACCAGCGAGGAACCGGGTGCCGATGAGGGTGCCAAAGGAGTTTGCGCGTGCTTGGCCGATTTGCATGATGGTGTAAGCGAGGATTGTGCCGATGAAGACGGGGCGACGACCGATTAATCTGTAGAATTGTTGGTAAGTATGTAAAAGGACGTTGGAAAGATTGAATGCATACTCGGAGAAGGGCGCCCAGATAATAGGTCCTGCGACGCTGCGTGGATGTTAGAATATATTTATAGGTATAAATACGATGGAGACGTACTATCCGCAAAGGAAGATAGAAGTGATGAGGATAGCAGCTTCTTGGCTCACGTGAAATTCGCGCATGATGGCTACGACGGCTGTAGACGGCGCAGAGGAGGCGAATGTGACATTAATGGTGAGTAAACAACACAGCGCGGTGATAAGGATCTTCTTGTTCATAGAGACTAAAAAAAAAAAATCAGAAAAACATATCAAAGAGAGAAAAAAACATAAACATACAATTCTGCGGATCCTCCGGGTCATCCTCCTCCCACTCCACGAGATCAGGATCCTTCTCCTCCGCCTCAGGCTCCTCCATCAACGTCTCCTCACGCCCCCTCTGCGCTAGCCTCTCATCCTCCTCGCGCCTCATCCGCTCCGCAACCTGCGCAAGATACAACGCCTTCTTCTCCTCCTCCAGCCGCTTCGCCTCAAGCCACTCCTTCTTCAGCTCCAGCTCCCTCTCGACGACCTCCCGAGGGACATAATCCCCAATCGTAGAGGAACGACTCAGACTCCGTATCAGCCCATGCCCATCTGAGTACCGCGACCCGACCGTATTCGAGCGGGCTCGCTGCGATCGATCTTGGTGGGGCGTCGGACTAGGCTTTTCAATATGCGTTTGGTCTTTATCGCTGCTCATTATAATTAAGAACGCGGTGAGCAGGGGAGGCGGAAAGGGGTAAAAAGCCGAGAAAAGAAATTCAATGAAAGAACGGAGGAGGGACGAGTCGGTTTTATGGTGCGCGTGCACAGCCTGTGATCTTCAGCTTGATAATGCGACCCCACTCGAAGCCTTTCTCCCTTGTGTCTCGGAAACATGACTGGTGGGTCCTTACTTTTTCTCCGCCATGACTAGTAGAATCTTACCTTTTCTCCACATTCGTACGGCGACGGCAGCCGGGTATGGCTCGGCCCGGTGGTGCGCTCCGTGGTGTGCAGGATGTCACTGCGTTACTGCGTGGCGTGACGGGACGCGTCGTGATGTCACGAACCGCCCCAATGACGTCAGGAGAGCCTCAGGCTGGGACTCTTAAAATGTTTAGACGAGGAG